TTCTAATCCAAATCAAGCTGGTACTGTCGAACATCTCACCTAGGGTTTGGGTAGAGAGGAAGTTTATCTATCTGACACATGGTTTGGGAAAGATGATGCTTGTAGAAACAACTGGAAATGTGGGAATGATTCTATCTATCCTTTTAGGCATGTGCGTGTACTCACATTTTTCTTCTAGAATTCACAATTTGAGACTACTGAACCTCTCCTTTTCAGAGTATAGAATTACTGAAAAAAGCTTTTCTCCACTTTTGTCTGTATCAGAAACTGATTTCCTGGGACCTGCCTACATGACAGACTGCTACTACCATAAATGACCCCTTTGTTATACTGTCACAGCTGCTGCCATCAATAGGAAATTGAAGCTAGACTCCCACTAAAGATGTACAATCCTGTTCAATCAGTTAATCAGTCAAATGCTGTGTTTAATCCGTTAACCGCTTAAATGGGGATGGACAGAGGCAACTCTGGCTGGGCTGGAGTGACCTCCTCCCCACCAAGGCCAGGGCTACTCTGATTGTCTTGAGCAGCCCCACCCACAGCACCCTGCTCCAGCCAGACTGGGCCCCATGAGAGGGGGCTGATCAAGCAAGATGGAGTGCCCCTATCTGCGGTGTGCTGGACCTGCTGTGGAGGAGGGTATCCAGCCCCCATTGGTTAACCGTAACTGGTAGCCATCACTAAGGATGATGTTAACCAGTTAACTATTTACACCCCTAGTTCCCACTGGTTTAAAAGAAGGTGTTCCGACCAGGGAGCAGCTCTGATGATTTTGGAATTTACTTTTCACTCTCAATCCCAAATACTATCAGCCTTAACCTTTAGAACATAGCTGACTTGAGGTGGCACTGGGAGGTAGGTACATCAACCCTCCATGTGCCAACAACATTTTAGTTGTTCAATGGGGTGCCCCCACATGTCCCCTCCCAATCCCTTTGGGTGGCCCTCCCTACACTTCCTCCTCCCACAGGCACCAGTCATCCTTGCTTTAGAACCCACTGCAGAGCCCACCACTTTACCTAGAATTGGGACTGAAAAGCATGGTAAAGACAAGCATTTCTGGGTGAGCATGAGTACTGTTTGCATTTGATTTTAATTTCTAGTTATTTTCATGACAGATGCACCTTTAATAATGTCATGGGTGTCCAGAATCCATATTTTATTGCTTATAAATTGAATGAATGAATAAATAAATGAAAATAACACTTGTTGCTGGACTAAGCCCCATGCAGGCAGTATACTTGCCATATTAAGAAGAATGGCTTGGCTGTACTCTGGATGCTTACTTTTGGGGGCAATTTCAGCACATTTTTCCTACTAATGCATGTTTTTGCATTCAAGATGAGGAATGAGGTCCAAGACCTTTATGCTGATGCTGACGACTCTAATGAACCACTAGAGGGAGGCCAAGGGTAATTTGTTGCCAGATAGATTCTAGTAAAGGATCCTAACTGCATTATTAAACTAGTGTTGGCAGAATTCTGTGGAAAGCTGCACATTTCCCATCGTCATCTCATGGTATTGCATGCTGAAACTGTCTACATATGCTTTTTAGTGGCATAAAGCGGTTTCCCACCTTAAATTACAACAGAAAATTAGAACTAATGTATATAATTCTTCTAATATTTAACTAACCAATTACATTTAGCACCCGTTAATGACGATTCCTCTATGTCTTTCTTGACTTGTGAGCTGGTTTCAGTTTCTTTAAGGAAATTGTCAAAAATCAGGAGTTATGTTTGGCCAAAAGGTGCATTTGAAAATGCAATTAGTTCTCTCTACTCCACTCAACTTCTTTTGCCTCCATAGTGTTCAATTTGGTACCATTTTTGAACCTGTAACTCTCGTTCAGCCATTGTCTCAATTCTACCCGTGGCGAAATCTTCAGGTGTACCTATAATCTTTCTTGCCTTAACTATTACAACTTTATGCTCTCAAGGACTGCATTATGCCCAAGCAGGTCTCCTGGCTCCTCCCCTTCTCTATAGTATCAAGGTCCATGTTGCTTTCCGTATTCTGAAAGTTCTCTGAGTGTTTTACTCCAGCTTACCTCATTGACCCACTGTCTGCTGACCCCTCCCAAGACAGTTAGGGCCAGTCTCCACTTTTTCCTCTCACATGCAGTCCTATTACCACTGTTGGTATGAAAGCCTTCCTTACAAGTTCCTGCTACCTGTAACAGCTACCTGCAACAACCTTCCTGGGGGAGGAGGGCTGTCTCAAAATTTCTACTTTTCAGCGCCTCAAAAGTTCAGATATATTTTGATTTAGGGGTTTAGTTCAAACTGTCATAGCAATAAGAACCAGCTGTGAAATGTGGATTTGGATTTCAGAGCTCTCCAGAATGTCAGGTTGTTCAGGTATGGCGTTTTTACTCAGGCCTATTTTTAATTTTTAAACTTTGACAAACAACTTTCGGCTCCTAAGACTATAGTTGAACACCTAAGTAAGTAGGCTTATTTGAAGACTTGCTGAGCATGCAACTCTACTCAGCAACTTCTACCAGTCAGACTTATTTAGGGCGCGTCTATAAAGCAGGGCTTAACTCAAAATAAGCTCTGCAAATTGAGCTATTTCAAAATAGCTTATTTCAAGTTTTGGTTTTGTCTACACAGCACTTATTTTGAAACACAGCACTCTTCCTCTGCCTTCCTCATACAATGAGGGTTACAAAAGAAGTCCTCCAGCTTGACAGTATTTTGACATGTCAAAATAATTGCTGGCTGTGTAGATGCGAACTATGTTATTTCAAAATAACACTAATTATTTTGAAATAATGTTGCTGTGTAGACATAGAATGAGATGTCTAAATATAGATTCTGGTGCTTAATTATAGTCACCCAATTTTGAACATTTTGACTTTATTCACAACTCAGAAATGAATAAAATACAGTTGGTGTAGCTAAAAAGGAATCAAAGCTGAAATGCTGGGGAGATGGAGCACTCTGGCCTTCTCCAGAAATGCTTAGTTTTAAGCATGTGAATAGTCCCAATGAAGTTAGTAGAACTATTCTAATTTACACCAGATGACTTTCTGTAACTGTTGGAGACATGCATCCCATGCTCACTTCTATTTTATGGTGTCTTTCATTTTGCTATGATCCACCGAAAGAAGTGCAATATAATACTGATTTTTAAAATCTGGGCTTATCTCTTCACCTTGGCCCATCAATACTGTCTGATTTACTAAATTTAGGATGTTACAGGTCCTGAACAGTGCTGCCCTCTGGTGGGGTATTTCAGTCACTCTTGTTTTCCTTCTTGGTTTTTCAATAGAATGCCCTCTTGAAAGCTGGATTATTAAAATTATCATAAAATAAACACTGTTTATTTGGCCTTTACAACCTGAAAACATTCCTTCCTACTCCAGGTAGGATACCCACAACTTTTCTGAGTTCCTGCTCCCAGTACAGTCTGGTGATCTTTCCAGGAACTACCAGCACCAGAACACCTGGAAACAGAATTAGCTGGACCCAGACTTCACTACCATTAAATGTCTTCTTTTAGGAAAACTTTACAGAACAGTACTATTTTATAGCATGGAAGAAAGACAATCATAGAGAAACACCTTATATTCTTGCACAGTATGATTAAGGCAATTAAAAGGACCATCTGCAATGGGTAGAGGGCATGCAGTCAGGGGAATACATTATATGGACAGAGACCAACATAGATTTTTTTAGGCTTGTAACATTTTAAAATCTTTAAGCTGCACAAAAGTAATCAATTTTGACAAAAGTAATCAAATTCCATGCTGCTGTGCTAGAATGTTTTAGCTACACTATTCTATTGTATTTCGTATCACTGAAATTGTGCATCACAAAGAGCATGAGTATAATTCTCAGCTGTTCATGCTTAGTGCACCAGAGAGTGGGGAGGCAAAGGTGTTGCTATACCACCTTTACCAGCTGCTGACCAAATCCAGGGATGACTGGGGGGTTCAAAGTAGCTCCTTGCACAAGTTAAATCAGCCAGATGGTTGGTTTAACTTATGCCTTCCAGAACGGTTCCTTAGGGACTCCACTGCCAGCTGGAGTGCATCATAGTCCAACCCCAGCATGTTCCCAATGCTGGTGGATTAGTAGAAAATGGTAAATGTCAGCTTTGCACTAACCCAGGATTCCCACTCCCCCATATGTTAGGTGAACCCTCCCATGCCTTCTTAGGGCAGTTTTTAAAGTAATATGTTGTTAGACTCAAAGAATCCTTAGCAGGACTCCAGATCTGGCTTAGTAGCCTTATTTTTTCCTCATTTAAGTTGTTGAGTCATTGAAAACCATGAGCCAAATTCCTGCCTGATATAGTTCTATATTCCCTTCTGCAGAATAGACATCAAGTTAAATGTCATATAGGACAGGTAGGGGTTCTGAACAAGAATGGTATTACTGCCACATAAAGACAGAATAAATATAGAAAACTTTGGCATGGCACAGTATGCATAACCATATAATGAGAAATAACATATTTCTTCTTCAGCTCTAACAGCACAAAATAAGGGTGCTGTTTGACAGGCAAATAGAGATCTCCCCTATTTGTAAACACCGCATCCATGTCTCTGGGATTATAGATTCTTTATGCTTAATGCAGTGCAGCTGTGGCCATTTCAAGCAAAGCAATGAGACCAATGTTACTTGGGTACACTCTTAATAAACTATTACTGAAATCCCCGACTGACTTAAATCCAGCTATAATTTAATAGCTGCTATTATAAATGCAAGATTATCATAAAGATGCTCGATTTACCTGAAGCACAGCAGTAGGCATCTTATTAGGATGTTAAAAATATGTGCTTCGAAGTTCTTCTCAAAGGATAACATCTGAATATAAGTCATTTGTGGTGGATTGTGCAGAATGTTGCTCATTAATGACCATGGTTCACAAAGAATAATATGTCCTGGCTAGTTCTAATCCCATTTTTAAAATTAAGACTATGAAAAATATTTCTGAAATAATGATGACTGCTAATAGGCCAATTTCGTTAACAATATCATAGCTCTTACCTGTAAAGTGCTAATGTGGACAGGGGTCCCTGTGCCATTTACCGTGTTCTTTTTGGCTACATTGCTTCCTTTCCCTTCTGCTTGTTCTGCCTTGGCAATTTTTGCTTTTTCAGCTTCAATTCTCTTCGGATTATTGAGCATTACCTGAACCACTGCATACTCAACCAATGAAGCAAACCCGAAAAGAAGACAAACAATCAGCCAGACATCTAAGGCCTTCACATAAGACACTTTGGGGAGTTCTGCAGCAAGAGTAGTACATTCAGATGCCAAGCTGAGCACTGAGAAGATGCCTAGAAACAATAAAGCAATATGTTAAAATAATGAAAACTATGCAGTCTTCTTAGCCTCTTCCTTGTTGGAGCGCTTTAAACATCTATACTGCTAGTTTCTAATGGATGGCATTTCTTATGAGTGAATGGAACTTCATGATGCAGCAAGTATGTTTTGCAAGAAATGACCATCAGCTAAATATACATTATACACATGCCCTTAGTTAATTAATGGTTTAATAAGCTGAACAGGATTGATATCTAGATAGGTTTTTATTAATATTCATAAACCCTGAATGCCGTGGAAGCAGACACTGAGGGTGTATCTACACAGCAGCATTATTTCTGAATAACACAGAGCACGTCTACACAGCAAGCCATTATTTCAAAATACGGCAAGCTGGAGGACTTCTTACTCGGACTCCTGTAACCTTCATTTCATAAGAAGTAAGGGAAGTCAAAGGAAGAATGTTCCTTAAGCTAAAGTTGCATAGCTTAATTTCACTTTTGTCCTGCTGTGTAGACGTGCCCAATTACTTACATAGAGAGAAAGAAACAGTATGTATCTATCGGAAGATGGAATGGCATAGAATACACTGTAAAAGCCCTGTCTTTTCCTCCATAACCTTTAGCTCTGACTTGATGGTCTAAAATTAAGCCAGCAGTGTCCCAGGAATCTGGAGAGCATAGAAAATACTTACAAATTTCTGTATCAATATAACATATCTCAACTACAATTTCTGGCTAAAAAAATCAAGAAAATATATCCACAATTAGCTGTGCAAAGGACGGCACTAAAATGGCTAGGGACTACATGGACCCTTATAAACCTCAGCTTCAAATGACTGGTACTCAGGGATTGGGGGCTCTTTTATGGTTCCAATGAGCACCACTTTCCTGGAAGTTTCTCAAAACTCAGAAACCCCAAGTAACTAAATGCAGAGATCATCTCAAGAAAGCAGTTTAGTCATGCACAGATGGGATAGTTACATGCACACAGTTATGTGTCAAAAGGCTGACATGTTCTCCAAAACACACAACAAAATATTAATTCATGCAGGGATCTATTTCTGATCCTTATCCACTTACATTTGGAAAATTTTAAATGGTCCTTAAAATATTAGTACTGCTCCATCAAAATAATTTTAAACTAAACAGGCACAAAATATCAAACTTTATCATCCCATTACCTTGTTTATTTTGCTTAAATTTTGATAGGATTGTAGTGGCCAGTACATTCAGAATTATTATAGTTTTGTCTCCTATCACTTTAGAGACCCTGTTTTTATTTGGTATAAGGCATTAATCTAATGCTGACAGCTTGTCATACATTAGTTATTAAAACAAAGATTGTGAAATAATAATGATCAAAGGGATATGATTTTCAAGTCAAAATCTTTCAATATACTGTCTAGAAATAGATAATATGCTTATGTTATTCTGAAGCTGAAAACTCCAGCTTTCTATTGGTGTAATACATTTATTTTCTGCCATAGCGAGATATCAGAGTGATACCACTGGGCCAAAAATGAAATTCCTGCTTGGATCGGACGGTTTTCCCTGTGTGGGATCTGAAGCATTTGAGCATGTACAAAAAAAATCCCTCTTTTCCCCTTCACTTTCAGAATATCATTATGAATCACTTATCGGGATGATCTCACCAGAGATTTATATGTATATTTTAAGCAACTGAGAGTGGAAATGGAAATGCAAATGCAACGTTAGAGTTAAAAATGCTGTATGTCCAATCTATAGAAAATGCATATACAGTTGTGGATGTCCATTCAACAGCCCTGAAAAATCAATACTATGCTGAATCTAAATTACCTAACTAGCTGTCAAACAGTCTTTTTTTTACAGCTATAAATATCGGCTAGTAAACAACTCTTTGTAACTGTGGATATTCTTATTACTGCTGTAGAATGTATTTATTTTTACTGTCTTTAAGTATGTTTATTGAGCTAATAAGCTACTTTTGTTGGTATTATTTGATAAGTGCTGAAAAAATTCAGCTCTTTACAGTCACTGCCCAGAAGCGCATAAGATGTTGGAGGCTTATGATCTTGGACTTAAAGTTGAAAAACCAACTTGTAAATCCGACTCTCTGAAAAGATTAGAGCAGAGCTTTCATCACTTAGTTGAACAGGGCAGCTGAGGCCACAGTGACCTCCTACTAGTTTCCATTTGTCTGGAAACCTGGGGTAAAAAGTTCAGGTTCAGAGTGAAAGAAAGGAAAGAACATTTTATCAGATTCAGAGGAAAGAATATAATCAGGAGAGAACAAATAAATATTCCATTAAGTAAACATTCACTATAAAATCAACACTGGCATGACTTCAGAGAACCTGACAGCAGTTTGGTAAATTGCACCTCTGAGAGTTACTGTATTCAGTGCTTACCTCAGCTGGCCCATAGCAAAATGCTGGGAGGAAAAAAAAAACTCTCAAAATTGAAACATAAGAACCAATTCTCTATTCTTACGTAGCTCTGAAGGAAGGGCTAGGAGCCCGTCACAGTTTTGTTGAGGGAGAGAAGTACTTAGGCTAGGCTGGGAATGTCTCTCTTCCTCCTCCCTCTGCATATTCCTGGCTGCTTTTTTGAAAGATAGCATCTATAATAATGGACACTATCTTGCATTTAAGCTGTGATTACTATGGATGGAGTGGCCACTAGGGCCAAAAGAGCTCTTTCGGAAAAAGGCTTCTTCCTCGTAGAAAGAGGTTTACCAATGTCAGAAAAACCCCTCTGGTTCTTTCAATTTTTTTTCAAAACAATGCAATTTAACTTTTGTTATTGATAACTGCTACACAATGAGGAAATGTCACACACAGCAACCCTCAGGTATCTCTTCTGTACAGTCAGAGTTAATTTAGAACCCAGGCCCATTAGAAGTTCAAATTCTTCCTTTCAATGTGTATTATTTGGTATCTGCCAATAAAAATTTCATCTGCCATTGGGTACTGTCAATTTATGTACATTATTAGGTTCCTCTGTCTCACAGTTTAACATGGTTTCCCTCTAACTTAAAAAAAAACTCCCTAAAATGGAGTGGTCCTGTAGCACCTTAGAGACTAACAAAATAATATAAATAGCATCATGAGCTTTCGTGGGTACAATCTACTTCAGATTAGGTTCCTTTGCAATTCTTCAACCATCTTTAGTTTTAACTAACATACATAACCATATGTCCCCTACAAAATGCTGTCCAGTTCCTTTGATGTGCTGAGATTCACCTACCCAATTCCACGTGCTGCTAAATAAATCCTCTGGTTCGGAGTACTGGTTAGTCAATGTTCCAAGCTCTAGCTCTCAAGTTCACTCCCAAGTCACAGACCCCAATGGCTGATACCTTCTGGGGCAGTGGGACCTTGAATCCTGATGCCTACTGCCAGGAACCAGTGCTATAGCCTTCCTGAGCCTGAGTTGTTTAGCCCCATTTTCCCAAAAAATATGTGTAGCTGGCAGTGCTCTAATTTCCCTACTTACACCCATTCAGTACCACAATGCAGTAAAGTACGGCACACAATTTAGCAAAGGAATTGCTTAATCAGACTTTACACTTAGAAAGCATAAGATAATAAAGGAGCTATGAAAAACAGCCATCCAATTATCTTAATCTAATCTCACCCTCTTTAGGAACTCACTGGATTTGATCTCAGTCTTTAGAAGAGGCAAAGACAACCATTTTTTCCCACCCTTTCCTGCTTTTCCCCTGGCTTGCAGAAGCCTACTTCTGTCAATATTCGGTTCCCTTTTGGTTCACTAAAGAAAAAACACAGCTCTTCTAGTCTAGTCACGTCATAAGGCTGGTAGGATTCGAGCCCCGTCCTCTCCAATGAGGTTTCTGTGAAGACACAGTCCAGTCAAGGTCCTACATACAGAAACTTCATTGTTCAAGCAAGTAAGAGTCATTCAATACTGATGGGCACTTGGTTGCTGTGACACACCTTTCCAAGCATAGTGACTCACTGCTTGCCAGGTTTTTACTACTAAATGGATGATCTAATGCAGTGGTCCCCAACCTTTAGAGGCTCCCGGGCACCCGGGAGGTGGGGGCCACTCATGCGCCGGGCGCCTGGGGGCGGGGCCGCGCGTCCGGGGGCACGCCAGGGGACTGGGATGCCCTTGCACCCGGCGCTGGCATGTGCCCTAGGGCCCAGGTTGTCGGCGGGGGGGCACCCAGGG